AAATGATCATGTCAATTTAAACATGTTATATATCAATAAATATGATATTCTTTCAAGAGCTTTCATTTCATGAAAACACACATATATGGGATATCCACCTTCCCAAAGATCCAGACGAAAACTTTGAAAATGCAAGCTCTTACCCGCAGAAATCTAGAATAAAACTTTTAACATACAAGGTCTCTTTCGTTGTTCAAATCTAAAAATGATTATCTGCAGAGATCTATAGAGAATCTTGTAAACCATAAACGTGACTATATAAAATCTTTCCAAATCTAAACATAATTATAAGCAGAGATCTAGAGACACTTCTATGGCCTACCATCTGAGTGACTGCTTGCTGCTTCCAAAACAAACAATGACCCTGATTCAGGAATACATAATATATTTGTCCATATAGAGAGAGCAGGAACAGATTATATATATGTGTTTATATGGAGAGGGGCTACCACTGAAACATTTACCTCAAATTTTGGGAAAACCAACACCCAGGCCCCATGTTAAAGTAGAGTGGTATCTTCTGCCCTGGAGTGAAAACAAACATGTTTGCATATCTTGAGCATCAAATGATACCAAACACATTTTAAAAACCAATTAAACAGCTGCACTTTCACAGTCCCCCGCTCTCAAAATAAAACACTGTTGCAAATACACGCTTGAAGTATCAACATTAATAATTTCATATCTAAATTTTAGTATAAATGCCTTGCAAAAAAACAAATCCAACGATGAATAAAACATCAATACCCACAGATTTTGAACTGTCGGATGAAGAACCAGCAATGATAAAACTAGATGAAGAGCAGAAACTGAAGAGCAAGTTTATCACCTTTGACTGTCCTTTATGCCACGGAAAACTACAATTACAAAACACAATAGAAATCAACCCGAAGGGGATACAATGTAGTTGTAATCCTTTTTTTTCAAAATATCAAAAAACGACAAGACTATGAACGTCAGCAGGGATGACAACGGAGACATCAAACTAGATAGTGAAGCACGCGGCATCTCGTTCAGTTGGAACAGGCAAATCATACCAGAGGACAAAGACAAGGAAAGCACTAACCGGATGATTGCTGATGTGATGGGAACACCAAGAAGTGAGAAAAAACAATCATCTATACACGATATGGATTAAAAGATAGGTTTTAAAGCGTAGATTTTGACGGGAACGATTTGATACATAAATATCTAAATAAATTACTATTTAAATAAATAAATATATAAATATATATATATACATTATATGAGTGGTATGGACGAGAATCGAGAACACCGACAAACTGGCGGAACTGACAAACAAACTGAACAGATGTGATAAGAACATCAAAACCACAATGGAGACTTTGAAGAGCATTGAGGAGAAACTCGCTTAACCTAAAAAGGAGGAGCAGAAGGATGATAAGGAAAGGATGGATAAAATCTTTGAAAAGGGACAGATAGGAAGACCCGTCGGTTCGTGGGATGATAAGAGGATACAGTATAAGTATTGGATTAACGAAGGTAAGATAAAACAACCGAAGGAAGCAACATTAGAATTCTACAAAATTTATAAGGATACTGAAACGGGATTTTATGAACTTGGATAATTTCATATTGAAATCTAGAGTTTTAATATGAAACTATTAGAGTTATTTAGCGGAACAGGTAGTGTTGGTAGAGTTGCGCGTGAGTTCGCTTTAGTGTCATATCGTTAGATTTGAAGAACGCCAACATCAATGAAGATATATTAGAATGGTATTATAAAAAGTATGATAAAGACATTGACATAATTTGGGCTTCACCTCCTTGCACGGAATATAGCAGGGCAAAAATCGCGGTAATTAGACAGATAGATTATGCGAACAGCATTGTCAGGAAAACTATTGAAATAACAAACTACTTTCAACCAAGAATGGTTTTCATAGAAAATCCACAGACGGGACTATTGAAGGAACAGGACTTTATGAAAGACTTTGATTACTATGATGTGGATTATTGTAAGTATGGTTTTGAATATAGGAAGCGGACGAGGATATGGACGAACTTGAAGAGTTGGAAACCCAGACCCTTATGTAAGAAAGACTGTCATGGCATAATAGGGAACAGACACGAAGAGACCGCACAGAGACTACCGTGTAAAGGCAGATGGGAGGAACAAAGGAAGAAGACACAGGATGAACTATACAGAATACCGGAAGAACTTATTTATGAAATCATATCAAACCTTTAGTATCTCGTGGCGAAGGAAGGGTTTAGTCAATCCTTCCAGTTGGAAGATTCTGTTTCCTGTCGTATCGTATTCTATCTTCCTGACTTTGTAGTTCTCTTGAGACTTAGACCATTTGCTGTTATACTCCTTCCTGTCGGTGTAGTTGCCTCTGCCCTTGGTGAAGCTTTTGACTGTATCGTTTTCTTTTATCTCCTCATACTTCCTCGTGTTCTTTTCTCTTCTTGTCAGATTTACCTTTACATCCATATGGTTCTTATCATCGTGGGCTTCATTGGGTGTGAGTTTTGTGGATGAGTGTTTGGTGCTGTTGTATTTCTTCAATACGAGTGGAAGCATACTCGTCCATCCCGCCTTATTGAACCTGACCCTGTCGTGTATTATATTCTTAAGTGTCCTGATGAAACGCTCCGCGACATTAGCGTGTGTTCTTGTGATGATGTGATTGATGGCTTCGTCTTTAAATAACTTTGAGACTACCGTTTGAAACGTTCCGTCATCATCGCTGTATATTGACATTGGAAAACCCATTTTCTTAAAACTTTGCTTCAAAGCCGGGAAGACCGTTTGTCCATCTCGGTTCTTCATAGGTATGACGTCGCCCATCTTGCTGAATATATCTATGACGACTAAAGCATAGGGTGGCTCGGAATTATTCATTGATATTTTTGCTTCCGGAACTTTGGTTAAGGGCTTCATATGCATTATGTCAATTTGATACTCAAACCTTGAGAACGGAGCGGTGTATGAGTTTGAACCTCTATAGCCTCTAATCTGTTTGTTGGGCTGTTTCTTCATAAAGGTTTCCACATCTACCCTTGTGATGGATGGGTCTTGTTCTTTTGCTTGTTTTAGGGTGTCTTGAATTGACCCGAAACCCTTTTCCAAGTCGTAATAGACATTGCTTATTATCTGTTCTTTTGTTAATCTTCTTGCCATTATTATAGTTTTAGTTTTTAAGATTTCTTAAATAATAAAGACTATACTTAAAGAAAAACAATATATAAAAGTAAGAGAGTAAAGATGACTAAATTTGACTGTGGATGCCGGATAATGACTGCAGTTATTTCCTTGAATGAATGGAAAGAACCAAACTGGACATATTTGTTAAAGACCTTTGTGAATATGTGTGGGAAGTGTGGAAAGAGACAAAAGAAGTTTCAGTTTATGGAAAACACACTTTTAGAGATGGAGAAGGCAAGGATGATAATGTTTTTTGAAAACGATGTCAGTGATGAAGATGTGGAAGAGAAAGTTAAAAATCAACCTGAACTGGAAAACTGAACCAGCCCCCCCAAGAAACAAGTTAAAGAACAATTACCTCTATATAATATATATATATATATCAAGAGATGCTATTTACTTATGAGAACTGTAGATGTTGTAAACATGAAAGTGCCAACGTCAAGGTTGTATTGGACAATCTTTTCCCCGCTGGAAATTGCGATATGATATGTGATTACAATACCCACTGTTTCAAATGTAATAACTTAATCTTCAAGGACAGTAAATACATCAGAAGCGCCTACGACAGACATACAAGAGTGGAAAAGCAAATAGATTTCTTCCAAACAGAGATGCCATCACCCATCTTTTTGAGTGATACTAACCGAACAAATGTTAGAGCGATGAGAAGGGACATAGACGTGTTGATGGACACTTTAGAACTGAAGGTCAGGTTTCAACGCAATAAAATGTTTCTACAAGCAATCAAATCTTATGTAAAGAAGAACTGGACATATACCTATCACATCCTCTATTCCTTTCACGACCTTGATATTATGACTTGGAGTAAAAAGAGACGGCAATGGTGGTTTCCTAACCTTGAAGAGTATTACTATTTTAGAAGCCGACCATTCAAAATAAAGGACATTTTGGAAATCTTCTTGCGTGAATACCTCAAAGAACTCTTCAGATACTATGAGCACTATATCAACGAACCAAAAATAGAAGAGCACCTACAGAAGGTGATAAGCACTGAAAGAAACATATCTTTATATATATATATATTAAGAGAAACATGACAAGTGCTAAAATTTACGATATGAGTAACGTATCAGACAATTTAGGGTTGTATATTGAAGTTGGTAGTGATAGTGAGGGTGAAGACTGGGAACAGAAAGAAATAGAAAGGGAAGAACAGCACATTATGGACTTCATCAGAAACAACCCCTTTCCAGACAGAGATACATTTGTAGACATACAATTAGAGACAGTGAGAAAAGACAAAGCAACAGGTATTAAAGTCTTCGGAACGACTTATGATTATAGGATATTGAACAAACTATATGAAAACATCATGAATAAGGATATAGTCCGAGAATGCGGTAGAGAACTATATGAAAAGGATGGTATGCGTGATATGGTGAGATGTCATACCTTATTTAATGAAATCATACACTAAAACGACAATGAAGGAGACAACAAAGAAAACTACGATAGAATACTTGATTAAACATATTATGAACTAATCCTTTAGACCCAAACCCCCAAGAAAACACAAACGAACCTAAACAAATCTTAACCTCATCCATTATCACCGAACAGAGTGATTTTCAGCACCAAATTCTCCCCAGAAACCCCATAGAGAATGACGACAAAGCCTCAACAACAATTTTTAGTGAGCAAAACATTTCAACGAGGTGGTTGATGAACAAGAACTCCCCAGAACCACCATTTTACAATTTTTTTCCCCCCAGGCGCCCAGCCGAACATGTTGCTCAGTCAAAAGCGCGCAGTGCAGCGCTGCAGCACTGCTGCAGCACTGCTGCAGCACTGCTGGCTTGTCCAGGAGTGCAAGTCTCCCGAGCTTCAAGACACCGCTGAGGCCGAAACGGCGCAGTCACAGGGGCCCAGGACTCGAAGGACTCGAGGGCTTGGTTCCTCGAACGTGGGGCTCGGGGCTCGGGGCTCAAGGCTCGTATAAAAACCTGTGGATTCATGTGGATTGGCGCGTGTGAAGTCCCAGTGCATGCGAAGGGAAGCATGTTGTGAATTAGAATCATATATAAAGCCGTGAGGATCAATGCAACATGAAGAGACCAGTCTCGCACAGTGAACGAGTCGCAGAGCACCCCGAACGGGAAACTCGACTTCGTAAACGACATCTACAGAAAAAAAGACCTCACGTGGTAGGGAACATGGATTTGCAACCTATCTTTGGCTGTACTCTATCTCACAACCTCATAATGATTCCTGGGTTAGTTCTTCCAAAACTTGCTCTTGATGAGCCCGCAGGCGCAGCTCTTTCTGGCACAGGCGCCCTGGCGTGTCCACTCGGACGCCTATCAAGCCATGCTGAAGCTGAAGGCGAGTCTCAGGAGAGAAGAACACCCGCTTGGTTTGGAAAAGAGAACCGACACATTGGGTTGTTTGGACTGACGACATCTATGGAACTCAGAATTCTTACGTCTTCCCATTTGTCCACTTTGCCATAAGTTTAGTTGACCCCAAATTCCGAACATCGTGGGATGAGTCGCCATGAGGCTCATGAACGCTTTCAGCACGTTGCAGAAGCCGGGCAGCGACATTCATTGGTTGGAAGATATGGTCGTGATCGTGTTGAAAGCTGAGAAGTACCTGAAATGTTCAGGAGAGACACAGACTTTTAAGCACCCATTCACTGCTTGTCGTCTGCCAGGCTCTGGCAGAAGCTTGGCACGAGACGGGTGCGGAACCGCTGACCTTCAGCGGAACGAACTGTTTGGAATGATGGGAACTGCATATGGTGCAGAGAACTAGGAGGCAATCAGCAAGTTCAATGGGAGGTCCACTCTACCTTCCCGAAGATTTTGATCTATGAGAGACGAGATAGGGGCCAAAGAAGCTGAAGAGTTGGGTGGAAGGGAAGGTGAAGGAACTCGCAGAAATGCTCGATGTCCCACAGCTCCGGGCAATCCTAAGAGGCGATTGATGCCTCAGTTCGCGTAGCTTCAAGTGTCAATCGGAAAGGCTTCCAAGCGTCAGAAGCCTCATGGATCGATATAGATCGTATGCTGCGCATGTGATTCTGTCTTCAAGAGTCCGGACATCAAATCCAGTGCGAAGTGTCCTGGCTGGGCTTGGGGGTTTACTACCGTTCTCAAAGGAAGTGGAAAATGACCAATTCCAAAGCATGTGGGCAATGGATAACTCCACTCAGAGCCAGTCCGAGCCTTGTGAAGCCAGACCCCTCCATCAGACTCTGTCGCCATGTTTCAGTAGGCCCTGGCGTGTCCTTCGAGCTTCGATTGCAGCTTTTGGAGGCATGATGTTCTTGTGAAGAGGGGAGCTTAATGAACTTCGGCATAGAGAGGGACAGCAGGGCAACCAAGACTGAGCACTTGGACACAGCTTCTAGTAGCTTCCTTTGAGAAGAACCTCCCACACAAAGCATTCTCAGGGTCTGTCAGCCAATCATCCACTAACCTCATTCAGATTGCTGCAAACCCAGAACATTCCTTGAGGACGTTTTCCTAGCGATGTACAGACAAGTTTGGTTTCAGCAGGCAGAGCTTCAAAAGGAAGTCAGGTCGTAAGTTGTAAGCTAGAATTCAGAAACTTGATAGGCATTACATGGCTTTACATTCCAAATTGTTTCTTCATTAATAAAACTTTTACATTGCAGATTGTCTCTTCTTTTCGGGAGTGTTGGTGTCATCACAAGCTGGATGCAGCTCATCAAAATCGACCTCCAAAGACCTCCAAAGGCCAAATTGGCTGCGGTGAGTACGAGCAAAGAGATGGGAACCGCTTCCCCCCTCTCAAAGCATAGAAAAATAATTCGATTAGTAAATAACACACTGTGAAAAAAGAACAAAGCACTGGAACATCTCCCCGGTCCATTTTTTCTTATGTATGGCACCCATGGCACCCCCCCAAACCAGGGCCGCATTTTGGGCCAACCACCATCCCCGTTCCAACGACTGGCGCAGCGCAACGACCAACGACGACGACGGGCAGGTCTTGTCCCAAGTCTCCCTGGCCTCGGGCCATGGAGCTCTGGGTCTTCAAGAGCTGCAGCGAGCCTTGGGACGCCCAGGCGTGGACGACGGTCTCCTCGGTCGACGGTCTCTCCTCCAACACCTTCGGTCGGGTTCACCTTCGTCGGGAATGGAGTCGGTGTAGAGGTGTGTTGTCTTGTGTGGTGTTTTTTGTTTTACAATCGGATTGTTGTTTGTTTGGGGATGGAAAGCGCCTTCCCCGCTCAAAGGGCCTTCGGCGATTCGGACGTGATCCTTTGCGGATTTGTCGAGTAACAGTTTGTAGGGAGTTTGGACGGGATACGGGATCTGATTGTTCGGTCGCACGCATTAAACATCGGAGGCTTTAATGACTTTAATGCAACGGTTCCGTCTCCCAGATGGTCTATGGAAACCTGATTGGATGTTGTGCTCAGACCTCAGCGTTAAGATGTGTAAACCAACCTTGACCTTTGACCTGGGGAACAGGTCAACTCGGGCCAAATGTGAAGGTTTCACTTGGGCTTGGTTTTTGACCTCACCTTCCAAAGCGTCCACGGCGCGGTTGGTGAGTGCAAGATCCGTCTGAGTGTTTTCTTTATATTCCCGAATGCGTAGCCAAGGGTTCTCGTTTAACTCTGGGGGTCTGGGGGTAGAGCCTTGTTCGCGACCCGTTGTTTCTAAGTTCGCAACCGTCCGCAACCGTCCGCAAGTGACCGCAACCGTCCGCAGTAGAGCGCTAAGGCGCTGCCATTGGGGGAAGCTTTTGGAGAGGGTTTCGGATGAAAACGGGACGTGTCAGATTCGTGTGAAATAGCGAGGAATTGTGTGGAAATGTAAGATGTTGAAGTATATGGAGGAAGATTTCACTGCGCAGGCACAGCGTTTTGTGAGATCAGCAGTTTTCTGCGCAGCTCCATTGGGACTAGCGTTTGGAGAGTGGTGTTTTTGGGGTGTTGGATGTGGCCGTGCCATTGGGATTTGCGTTTCAGGGTGTGGCATCGAAGCTCGGTTTTCGTGACAAGTCTCAGCTGACATGGCGATGTTGGTGGATGGGAGTGTGCTCTGAACGGGTCGAAATCATTCCAAACGTGTGGTGTGGTGCAAATTTTGTTGAAGCTCACATGAGATGATATTGTCACTTTTCGTGGCAGGCGCAGTACTTTGTGCGGGTTTTGAGGTGTGGAAGTGCGATTTTCGTGCAGGTGCAGGGAATCGTGAGGTTGCGAGGCGTGACGGAGGTGACATTTCGTGGCAGGTGCAGTGCTTTGTGCGCGTTAGACGTGTGGACGCGGAAAGATTCGTGGCAGGCGCAGGGAATCGTGAGGTTGTGAGTTGTGGTAGAGGTGAATGTCGCTGTCACATTGGGATTGGCGTGTGAGCGGGTGTTGTTTGGAATCGCGAAACTGCTTGGCAGGGCTGCGTGATGTGTGTGTGCTCCGATGGGTGTTTCCGCTTGACTTTTGGAAGAAGTCTCGAACAAAACGCTCGTTTTGCAGACTTTGAGGAAGTCTCGCACGAAACGCTCGTTTTGGAGACTTGACGTGTGACTTTTTGAGGAAGTCTCGTACGAAGCGCTCGTTTTGGAGACTTGACGTGTGACTTTTGGAGGAAGTCTCGTACGAAACGCTCGTTTTGGAGACTTGACACGTGACTTTTGGAGGAAGTCTCGTACGAAACGCTCGCATGACTGGTTCTAGTGTATGGGCAGACCGTGTGGCGACACGACGTTCGTGATGTCGCAGTGCCATTGGGATTTGCGCGGCCTTGGTGGAGAGTCTGTTTGCTTGGCGCCGTGCCACTGGGGAGCGCAAAACAGGGTGGCGTAAACGCGGCGTGTCGCTGGTGAGCGGGATGATTTGTGGTATCAAGAGTGTCCCAAAAGAGTGCCCCGCAAGAGCTTCCTACAAGAGTGACCCAGAAGAGTGTCCTACAAGAGTGTCCCACAAGGGTGTCCTACAAGAGTGTCCCACAAGAGTGTCCCACAAGAGTATCCTACAAGAGTGTCTCAAAAGAGTGTCCCACAAGAGTGTCCCAGATAGAGTGCCCCACAAGAGTGTCCCACAAGAGTGTCCCGTATGAGCGTCCCACAAGAGTGTCCTACAAGAGTGTCCCACAAGAGTGTCCCACA